CTCCTCAGGCTCCACTTCACTCAGCTGCCCGATAAACCCGCTGCTTCTTCCCACTTTAACCTGAATAACAAACCAGGTCTCGGTGCTCCGGTTGGATCCAAACGGATAGCCTGTGCTAGCTTAGAGTCTAGTGGAGGTTAACTGGCTGTGCTTCCCTCCGGTCATGCTGCGGCTAACGCTCTGCTAGCCGCTCCCAGCTAGCTCCGGTTTGTTATTCAGGTTAAAGTGTGAAGAAGCAGCGGGTCTGTGGGGCAGCTGAGTGAAGTGGAGCCTGCGGAGGAAGCACCGGTTAGCCCCGGTTTCACTACAGGCAGATTTACTCGCTACAGGGGCGTGGGAATAAAGCCTGAACAGCCAATCAGAGTGATCTCTCTCACTGACAAGCTCCGCCGCCAATTCAACATGCTCAATCGGCCGAAAAAGCCGCCGATGCTAAAGTGCCGCAAAAACTATGGCGACAGATGCTCACTGATGGCCTGACTTTGGTCGATGGCCGACTGTCGGCTTGGTGTGTCAGGGCCTTAAGAGCAGAGAGTCCGTTGTTGTCTCATTTGTGAGACGTCACAAATGAGGTGACATTTCGTGCAATGATGTTGGTAGCTAAAACAGTGCTGTATCTAACCTGTGTAACAGGACTTTTTACACGTTCACACATAAATGTACAGCTACTTTTCCAGTATATTCAGAAAGACATCAGAATGGCCTCCGTTAATAGCTTTATTTCAGGCTTCTGATTGGCCAACATCTTTTATCGTCTTCTTTGTGTGGCTTTAGGATCATGGTTATATTACCACCTGTTGGTATGGCATGCTCATGGCAGAGCTTCAACAGTGTTTTTGCATTTTCATTTAGATGGAGATTTTTTGTATAACAGTGCTTGTGTGGATTGGATTTTCTTTTTGACAAAGGAGAAAACCCATTTTCAAAAATACCCATGTCCATGTGGACTAGGCCTAAATATCTTTGGTTGGATCCATAGGAAAGCTCTTTTATCCCATATGTTGATGTGATTTGACGATTGGCAACTTGTGATGATTCAAATGTCCAGCCACAGTTGACGTCATTTTCCTTGACAGCCCTCATGTTAGCTATACCTACGCAAACAGTGCAGATACAGCTGGCTCCTAGCAGCCCCCGTAGGACTGTTCTTTAATGAAAATGCTGCTATGCCAGACCAGCATGTGGAAATGACGAGCTGTCTGTGGCTTGGCGGAGCAGGCTTTTTTTACTGCACTCTTTTACTGCAGCATTTAAAACCCTCTCCTTACCAGAGCTGCCTCGTCAAAACCTTTCTCCAAAGACTCAACTGTTGTCAGAGTTTTAAAATGTTGCCTGAGTGTGAAATGAGACTATGAAGGCAAAAGAAAAAGGAAATGAAATCTTAATTGTTTCTGGAGAGGCTGCCGATCACTTCCCTACTGCTTAAACACACACGAGACACTGGCATTGGTTATTACACAACAGCTGAGGAACAATAGAGCGTTAAATAACTTAAAGCTTTCAGGCTTAGTGTGATGGACAGATGGATGGGTGGTTAGATTAGGAGACGGGCCCCGGTGGTCCAGGATTGAAGGGTCAGTATAGGTTGTTGAAATGTTGTGGTCTCGGTGGGTGAGGGAGGTGTAGAACCGTCTGTGTGTCTCTTCTCGGGTGCACCGCCTACCTGGGTGGTCAGGTGGTGGTCCGAGCTGCGAGACACACAAACACATCCACCTCCCACTAACTATGGAACATCTCTGTTTAAGAGTCTTCACCAGCGTTATGTGGAAGCTGGAGAGGAGAATGATTGACACGATGGCAGGAAGAAGGGAAGCTCTTATTTAGAAAAGGCAGATGTTAAATAAACGATGAGCTCTATTTGGTGAGACGTGCACGTGTCTTCTACCCTCTGATTTAGCTCCATCCTGTCTGTGACAGGGACAACATGCTCCACACAGGCTTGTAAACCCTGTGGGAGGATGCTGTTGGTTCTTCCACAGTGTTGTCTTTTATAGTCCTAACAGTATCCCTTCATCTCCTCTGCACTCCTTTTTCCTACCCTCATATCCTCATCCTGACTCAGGCAACATAGGCCCTGAGGCATCACCTCACCCACGCATGAATGTCTGCTTTTAACATCTGTATTTGATATGTTGCTTCTTTACCCCCGCCGGCTGCCTCTAACGACTCCGAGACTCACCCTTGAATAAGCACGACTTCTCTTTGCAAGGCATCGTCATGATGCGGTCCAGGTCAGGGAGTTGTGAGCAGTTCGGTCGAGGTTGCTGCTTTCAGACAGCCAGTCTCAGAGGGGGGTGTTGTGTGGGAGAGCTGCAGCCTGATTCAGCTGTTCATATTGTAGCCCAAGTCGGCCGGGCTGGCAGGGATTAAGAGGAGAGCTTGCACAACATTTTTCCTACTGTTACGTCAGTGTCCCTGGCCTCTGGACAGCCCGCGGGGGCCAAAGGAGGGTCTGGGTTCCCCTCGCAGTGTCTGTGTGGTCTCCGTCTTTACTTCACCGCTGAGGACAGCGGCTGAGGCCAAACAGAGTCCAGCCTGGTACTCAAAAAGAAATCGCTGTTTGTGTGTTGTTGGAATTTTCAGTGTTTGGGTTCCAAAATCGCTGCCCTGCCTGTTTTAAAAACAGAGTAATGAAATTACTATCAACACTGCTGCTTCCACAGCTGTGGCTGCTTTGTATGACTAGTGACTAATATAAGCGCAGAAATGATTGATTAGATGATCAACAGAAAGTAAATACACCGTAAGTTCAATTAGCAAATAAAGTAAAGAAAGCAAACTCTGATTAGGACTTCCTCCAGAAGTGTTTCACCGCTGGAGCGATGGTCTTTTCTTAAAACTGAGCTGTATATGCAGCAAAAGACACAAATACTTTTGACATTGGTGCTATGTGACCAGAGAAAACCTACAACTACCTGCACCCATTTCCCACTCATAAATTTTTGTAATTCAGCTAAACAGCGCAGTGTCTTAAGACATTTTAGGCAAGAGATAGGCAGCACAGTAACAGAAACCTGGTTTATGTTTGATCAACACTGTCTAGTTTTACCGTTTGATCACAGTTTGGTCTGAGTTCGGTCGATCTGCTTCTATGCTCTTCGTGTCCGTGGTGGCGGGCGCATAATAATATGGAGGTACAATCTGTAGTTCCAGCGAGCCCTAGAGCCAGCAAAAAATCAAGATTGGAGGTAAGCAGGGAGATCTGGACACTGGTAGGATGGAGGGAAGCTTTCATCAATTTTCATCCGCTTATCCGGGGCCGGGTTGTGGGGACAGCAGGCCAAGCAAAGCACCCCAGACATCCGTCTCCCCGACAACACTTTCTAGCTCCTCCTGAGGGATCCCAAGGTGTTCCCAGTCCAGAAGAGATATATAATCCCTCCAGCGTGTTCTGGGTCTGCCCCAGGACCTCCTACCATTGGGACATGCCCTGAACACCTCTAACAGGAGGCACCCAGGAGGATCCTGATCAGATGCCCGAACCACATCAACTGACCCCTTTTGACTCGAAGGAACAGCAGCTCTACTCTGAGCTCCCTCCGGATATAGAACTCCTCCCCCTATCTCTAAGGCTGAGTCCAGACACCCTACAGAGGAAACTCATTTCCACCGCTTGTATCCGCGATCTCATTCTTTTGGTCACTACCCAGAGCTCATGACCATAGGTGAGGGTTGGGATGTAGATGGACCAGTAAATCAAAAGCTTTGCCTTCTGGCTCAGCTCCCTCTTCACCACGACGGACCGGCGCAGCGCCCGCATCTCTACAGAAGTCACACCGACCCGCCGATCCATCTCACGCTCCACTCTACCCTCACTCATGAACAAGACCCCGAGATACTTGAACTCACTCGCTTGAGGCAGTAACTCTCCCCGAACCCGGAGAGGGCAAACCACCGGTTTCCGACAGAGGACCATGGCCTCAGACTTGCAGGTGCTGAGGGAGGGAAGCTTACCGCAGTTCATTCACACAATCTACCCTTATTGTTGGGATACAAAGCTGGTTGAAAATCGGCAAAGTTTAAATGTCGTTTGGCAGCTCTTCTGTTTTTGTCATTGTAAATTGAATCATGTTAGCTTTCTGACAGTCGGCAAACAAAACTGCTCTTTGGCAGATGTGATGTACATTTTCTGTCACTGTTTACATTTTACAGATCTGAACTGTAAGAACAAGTCATTCACTATATGGTTTTCATTGTTTACATTCTAACCAACATCCATTCTTCAGCAAAATGCATTGTGTTTGTCCACAGTTGTTCCCTCAAGGTCTAACAAACATTCGTGAATACACACTATCTCTAAAACATTTGCAAAGCGTATTTTTTAAATCTACATTGTTTACATTGGCTTGAAGTTTGTGTCTTCTTCTCTTTTAATGTGGCATTTTGTACTTTATACATTGCATTACCATCACCACCATTACCAGCCTCTGCAGCTGGCTGTAATATGTATCATATAACCCCTGCGTTCGTGGCATGCATGAGCTGCCTCCTGCACAGAAAGCCTTCTCTTATGTTTAGGTGTGGGTGTTTCAGCGCATGACTAATTGGGACTGTGTTATTATTAACGTTGTAAGTTACAGCTGTGGTTTTCCTGCTATGGTAACTCAAAATGTCCACAGTGAGAAATATTTGTTTTGAGGTTGCATTATTGAATTCAGGAGTCATAGCTTGGTTGAACATTAGAATGAATCAATATTGAGTACTAAGCATCGCACTGAGGCAGAGTGTGTTCCTGCATAGCTTCACCTCTTTGTTTTTACAGTCTTCTATTAATCCGTTTGACCCTTTGACTGGATCTTTTCCTCAGCCTCTTTCTCTTTCTTCCCCCTCGTCTGCTTTCCTCTCCTATCATATCCTGCTCTCTGCCTCCTCTCCACTTCCCACTGAGTGACCTCTGACTTGACTGTTTAGTACATTCAGTTAAATTGCTGGCATATACAAAAAGATTCTTTGGCTCAGTGAGTAAAGTCAGTTTCCCGGATTGTTTTGTATGTTTTCAGGAGCTGTCAAGCTGCGGCTGGAACAAGAAGGAGAAGCACAGCTCTGCTCCAAATGTTGTGGCCTTCACTCGCAGGTTCAACCAGGTGAGATGCATTCACAGTTATGTCACATTCAGTACTGACTCAGCCCCCCCCCCCAAAAAAAAGGAGAGAGAAAACAGTCCCTGATGCAATTTTAAAGATTTATGGAGAGATTACCGCTCCTCTTTCCATCCTGTCCTCTCCCTCTGTCCTCCAAGTGCTAAATCATCACCCTGGCTTTCCCAGAGGTGGTTGTTTTTGAAGCTCTGCTTGTCATGGCAGCGCCTAATAATCTCCACGTCTTCTCCCTGCTAGTCCTTTGCAGCATAAATAGTCTCCAGGTGGAACAGGTCTGATGGAAGGTAGTTTGTTTTGTCCAGCTGGTCCTTGGTTCTGGCACCCGTGAAGTTTATTAATACGTTTCTGAATGTTGGTGCAGCACGTGTAGGAACATTTCCAAGTACATGCAGGAGTATGTACGGCCTGCTCCCCCAGTGCCCCCGTGAAATCATCAACAGGAAGTTGTGGGTTATGATGTAAGGGGCAGCCATGCCCTTTAATCCCCTTCCAGTGTTACTGCCAGGCTCCTTTAAGACCCACTTACTGCCCTCCAGCATAAATATGAGATGATCTAACAAGAATGTGTTGCTGTGGAAACTTCTCCATGTATAGCAGATCCCAAACGTTGATTCAAGATGTTAGCTGCACACATTTCAGCCGCTGGGAGCCAAGGAAAATGAGCTTTTTGGATAATGGGGCTTGGACTGGGAGGGCAAAGAGTCCCAGAAAGCTCCTTAGCATGAGCCCAAGCCACATTCCTCTTCCTTCAGTCCACGTTTTGTTGGCACTGCGCTCTGGGAGCCAGTGGAGCAGAAGAGAACGGGCCAGTCTATTTAGCAGGAGGCGAAGAGAAAATAATTCAGAACCCATTATTATCAATGCAAGCTAATCTGCCTTATTGCAGAGACAAATCAACAATGTACATACAGTAGTGAAAAAGTAAATGTTTATTCAGAAGTCATTATGAAGAATTAGTGGTGATTATAAACAAATGGGAAAAGAGTATAACCTCACCAGAGGGGAGGATCTGCACAGGACATCACATCGGTGTAAATTTAATAGAAACAGTCAGAAGAACTGCCCGCAAGCTTTTGGGCAAAAATCAGCATAATATCTTGTCTGTATAGCAGCACTGGGTGCAAGGAATATTATTTATTCATTAGGTAAAATGTTATATATTACAAACTTGCAGTTCATTCAGGGCAGGACTGACACATAGAGACAGACATTCACAATCACATTCACACCTACGGACAATTCAGAGTCACCAATTAACCTGCATGTCTTTGGACTGTGGGAGGAAGCTGGAGCACCTGGAGGAAACCCACGCTGACACAGGGAGAACATGCAAACTCCACACAGAAGGGCTCCCCCACCTAGGCCTGTCGTGATATGCGATAAGTCAGTTAATTGCACGGTAAATTAAAAGGGATTAATTGCCATATTTACGCGTTTGTTTTCCTCTTCTCTCTCCACCAAAGAGACTGGACGACAAGAGCGTTCACTGCCGTGCATTGTCTGGCAGCCAGGTGAGTTGGTTCATTAGCGTAATGAATGGAGGGAAAGCTCTTGTCATCGAGTGTCTTTGTCTCTTAGGGGGAGGCGGGGCTATGGGCTACACACACACACACACACAGTGCGATCTTCGTGAGGGGGAGATGAGGCGGAGAAGAAAACAGAGAGTTGAGCGCAAGAGAAAGACATGGAACTTGTTCCTAAACGAAATGCCACGGCCCCTGTGTGGGAGTGTTTTGGATTTAAACCAAATGACAGAGGGCAGCCCAGTAATTTGGACGAGCCGGTGTGCCGGGTTTGTTCTAAAACCATCTCAACAAAAAGAGCGAATATGACCACCTTAACTGCACTTAACTGAGTGGGAGACTGACAGTCTATTTTTTGTATTTATTTATTTATTTCGATATTTTTACGTGTTATTCCGGATATTTAAATTTTCTTTTTTTTTTGCATTCCTAAATATTCTTGTTAAATAAATGTTTATTTCTCTTTTAAAAGGGTGTACTTGCATCAACATGCCTTTATTATCATTATATAAGTTTTAAAAATGGTCTAAAAACAGCAAAATTACGCAATATTATCGCTTATTGCAATAATTTCTGATTCAGTTAATCGCCCAGCAAAATTTGTTATCATGACAGGTCTCCCCCCACCCTGGCTTCAAACTAGGAACCCTCTTGCTGTGAGGCGACAATGCTAACCACTGCATCACAACTTTCATCAAAATATGATATAATATTGATTCTGTGCACAATGATTAGATTAGGTTTAGCATCAACATTTGAACCAATACCGGTACCTGTGCTGGTTCCTGGAATTCGGTATCAGTAAACAAAGGTACGTTTTTACAGTACTTTACTCTTAATGTAGCCTAATAATAAAAATGTAATTCTCTAACTAGCTGCAGTCAACAGGTGGTTACACTCCTCTGTTCTTTTCTCATCACACTTATTTCCAAAATAAAACTGAAAAGAAAAAAGACCAGAGAGACCAAAACTATCAGCTCTGCAGCAACAGCTTCGGCTTGGTGGGAAACCGAAGGAGCTCTGCGGTTGGCTTCCAGGCTTCGGGGCACTTCCTGTGTTTCTGCCTCCTCTCTGAGCCCATCGTTGTCTCATCTGCAAAGGGCCTCAAAGCTGGGAAGCCACCCACAGAGCTCCATGGGCAGCCTCTCAGCTTTGGGGCTCTCTGCGGTGCTTCCACCTTGTGTCTGAACCTGGCGATCTCACCTAGGTGCACTAGGCACCAATTCATTTAACGTGAATAGGTACTCCGTTGTACCGACGTAATATGTTGGCATCTTTAAAATCAGCTGCATGTCTAAAGTGCAGCATTACAAACTTATTCCAGCTCATTGTTTGTTGCAATGGCTTGTGGGTTTTTCTCCACACATGTCTGTAAACTCAATTTCTTCCATTGAACACACGTCAGCACATTAGAGATCAGATCACCTCGAGGCTGTCAGTCAGCTGTAGTCCCCATCTTTGTCCAGATCTTCATCTCCATCCCATCCCTTCCTCCCTTCAGGCCATTAAATGGATTGATCCCCAGCTATGAGCGTCGTGGCTGGATCTGTCTGTTTCCGCTTATTTATGATTATTGAAGCACTGGGGCCTTGCAGCTCCATCTGGAGGCCTTGATATGCTCATAAACACAACCCCAAAGACACGATCTTTGCTTCAGAGCATAACAAGAGATCTGTGAAGACAAGAAAAGCCCCCGTATCCCAAAAACTTCTGCTCAGTCACACATACACACTGTTGTGGATGCACCTACGTAGAGCGCTGCCATCCTGAGTGATCTCACCGCTGTGCAGTGTTGGATGCCAAGGCTGTCGAGGACACAGACTCCGTAATGAGCCCCAGTGGTACAGAGATTTGGACGGACACGCTTTGTCCAGATTGATCTCACATATTAAGTTAGACCACTGAGGGAACTAAATGTGAGGCTGCAGCATGTTTTGCTCCCAGATTGGAATCACATTTTACAGTCAGTGGAAACTCCTGTCTACTGTAAACTTATGGTGGAAGAAAGATGTGACGGAAGATGTGACGATGTTTGAGCTGCTGCTTCACATGAGGTCACTGTCTCAAGGCAAGAGATGCAAATTAAAGTGGAAGTCAGAGGAAGTCAGGGTCAGTGTTAATGTTGATGAGAATTAAACATTTGGTTTAATCGCTCACTTAAAGATGGAGCACGTTTAAAGTCACATTTTAGCTTTTTTGTTGTGTTCTAGTCAAGATTTAGTCCGTTTTATTTTAGTCTAATTTTAGTCAGTGTTTTAGTCATACTTTTCTCAGACGCTTTGATGATGGTGTAAGGGATTTTGCTGAGGGATATTCCTCCTGGCTGTAAAAATTCCAATGAGAAGTGAGCGTACCTTGTTTAATCATCTAGTCTGAGAATGTGTGACTGACTGTATTTCTTTCATTTCACATAAAAATGATTCCCTGCAGTTTTTTATTTTACCACAGCTTTATATTACTGATATTACTGAAGTCTTCTGCCAAATCCGGCATCATGTTTTTCTCTCAGTAGAACTTGGATTCCATAAATCAGCCGTTATAAAAATGTGTTAACTTGAAGAAGTATTTCTCTGCTGGAAAGAAGATCTTTTCATAAAACTGGGCTGACCATGCAGGAGAGAGACGCAGATACATTTGAAACTGGTGCTATATGACCAGAGAAAACAGAAGAAACAGGCTGTGGCGTTTGCTTTCGCTCAAGAGGTAGAAAACTACAACCACCAGAGTGCACTGCACCGCACAGGACAAATAAACGGGCTGTACACATGACGCATTTTTAACCACCTGGAAAACGCAAGGTTGAGCTCCGGGTGCTACTCATGCCCATTTTCTACACCAGCTTTCGAGAGTGCAGCAGCAGGTTGGTCTGAGGTTATCAGTGCAGAGCTGATCTTCTTTCAGGCGCCGTTTATGTGTAGCCCCTTTGTCCGTGGGACAGATGGAAAGCTCTGGCTCTTTATCACAGACTGATATTTACAGAAGAAGAGAAAGATGTCTGTCATCTGTGATTGGTTGGTCCTCGTCACATAACATGCGATGCGCACTGCTGCGTTCCAAAAGTTGAACTCTGTTGCACACTGAGATAAGCGCTCTGGAACATGTTTGCACCACGATGGCGTTGCTCTGGCATTTGAGCATGCCTGCCACATGTCTACATTAAAAACAATTAATTTGAGGGCGCAAAAGAACGTGGCATGTGTACAGCCAAACACTCCCACTGGTGGGTGACGTAGTGCAAGTTGCCCAACCAAAAACAATATGGCGGCTGGCTGGTAATAAACAGTAAGCTGAAATATGTCTCTGAAAATATTTTCGGTGAGAAATAGGCAATGCAGTAACAGAGTCCTGGCTTATATTTGATCAGCACTGCCTAGTTTCACAGTTTGATTTGAGTTTGGTCTACGTTTGACAGAGCGAGCGGCGGCTCTCTCTTCATCAGCTTCTTTACTCCTTGTGACCATGGTGGTTGTCATGGTAGGCATACAAAAGTGAGGAAGTGCAATCTGTAGTTTGAGCACCAGCCCCAGAGGCAGGGGAAATCCACTGTTTCATGTCATCCAGTGGACATTTGCTGGCAAATGAGAAGGGAGATCTTGGTGCTGGGAGGACAGAGAGAAGTTTACCACCATTGATTTACACACATTACCACATTTTAATGATACAAAGCTGATTGAAAATCGTCAAAGTATCCCTTTAAGGCAGACGAGCATTATCTGGAAAACATCACGTTTATTGGCTTTACATGGGGCTAAAATGAAGACCAAATTATGTTAAATCTTTGCTGAATGACTTAAGTGTCTGTTTATGAGTTGTAAGGAATCATAAATATTCCTTTAGAGGCAGAGGGTGTTTAATGTAATATTGCAAGGCAAACTAATTACCGAAGCAACCAATGCTTGAGATGATTTCTGTGATCTTACTAAGGCTGTCCTGCAGAGAAGATTATAGGCTGCACTCTACCCCCATCTCAGATATCTATGAGGCCTGTATCCAACGCAAGGGCATGAAAATCCTCCTGGAAGAAACCCACCCTGCCAACCCACTCCTAAATGTACTTCCATCAGGTAGAAGGCTGAGGGCCATTACAGCTAAGACCTCCTGCTTTTTGAACAGTAATGTCATTAAGTTCCTTAACGGCTCTACGACTCTGCAGCAGTACCTTATGAAATTAGATAACCCCTCCACAGGATTTGAATAGCTTGAAGAACTTTTATTTATTTTTATTCTTTTATATAGTATAGTATACACTTTTATACTTTTTACATATATACATATTGCACTTTACTAGAAATGCACTTGAATATGCACAAGCCACTTTAGCCCCCTGGACTAACATCCAGGCTCTTCATATGAGTGGTATGACCTGTTCTCAGGACATGTGACCTTGTCTGTTCCTGCTGTCTTTGTATGTTGTTTGTTTGCTGTGACTGGCTAGTGGTTTGTCCTTCCATGTAGAGCGCACTGTAGCAAATCCCTGACGACTTGTTGTATGGCAATAAAGTATTGAATCTTGAATCTTGTCTGCCCGAAAGGAGCCATCTTTTTCTTCTTGTCTTTACTCTTCAGGGCACAATGAAAAGAAAGTTCACCATCATTTTTGTTGTGAATATTTTTTCCATTTACGCTTTCGTAACAATTTAGTTATTAAATAAGAAGACGTCAACGAATTAAAAATTTTAATTGCTAAAATGAACACCGGTCAGAGTCCAACGTCTATGCATCATCTCTCCATTTACCTCACTCCTTCATCTTGTTTACAGGCTTCTCCTCATGAACTGGTGAAAATGAAACCCATATGGCTCTGTTTCCTGGAGATATAGTACCTGCATAGATTGAGTGTGTGTGTATCGTGTGTTTATAAGATAAGACAGGCAGGCGGAGAGAGTAGTTGGATGAATTTATCTCTTCACTCCTCAGCTCATCACCTCTTCCCAGAAACAAAAACAAGTTTTGGAGCTGTTTCTAGGAAAAAGTAGGCAAAGCCAGCTGTAAGTTTCAATTTGTGCACATCAAGAATGTAGAAAAGCGCCGCCAAGCAGACACAGACATACACCTAATTTATAGACACACACACACAAGAGGCACGCCTAGACGTCTGGCAAATGCTTAAGTCTAAAAGGAGAGAAGAATGGGCGTGGAGGAGCAAAGCGGGAAAATAATCCAGAAAGAGATAAAAGAAGAAAAAGTAGAGATGGTCAGTCTGCCTGGACGGTCTTATCAGAACATAATGTGCAGACAGCTGTGGGCTTTGAAAGCCCACAGAGCCCCGCAGCGTTGAAGCTAACTTCCCCTCCCATTACCTCCTCTCTTCCCTCACTCTTCTCCTTTTCCTCTTTCCATTCCCTCCCTCCCCAGAGCTTTAACACTGATTGATTCACTGACTCGTCTGTGTGTGTGTGTGTGTGTGTGTGTGTGTGTGTGTGTGTGTGCGTGTGCGTGTGCGTGATGTGTAATCAGAACTTTGGCTTACCAGCATTCTCCCCAAAGAGACAGATTTCCGACATCACTCTCGTTCTGGCCAAGCTCTCTGAACACACACACACAAACACACACACACAATCGTCCTTCTTTCTCGGTTGACATATCAGGAGTTATGGTGTGTATCTGTTGTGTAATCAGTTGGAATCAGATGGATTTTCCTCTTGAAGCTCTTGTTTTTCCTCAAGAGCTAATTTCTAGTTGGCTCTAATGGAGCATTCTGGTTAACAGTCTGCCCCGTGCTCTCCTGCTCTGCTTTGTACTGGTTTGGGCTCAGAGTTGTCATGACTGTCTGCAGGTCTTGGCTCTGGACTCAAAGACTAGAGGTTTAACAAGGCAGAACACCCTGTTTCTGTGCACACCTGAAATCCTCATTGTGCTTTGGCGAATGTAACACATGAGAGATAAAGTTTTCTGTGTCATCAGTTTTACAACATCCTGGGTCTGTTTTTGGTGAGTTTGTCAGAGTTGCTCGGTGCCGTAATCCCTGCGTTTTTTTTCCTAGACGAGTTTCTGGGTGGTACGAGAGATCCTCCATGCACAGACGTTGAAGATCAGAGCTGAAGTGCTGAGTCTGTACATTCGCACTGCCAAGGTACACACACCCACGCGCAGCACGACATTGACATCCTCTTCTTCTGTATGTTTGCATTGCAAACCCAACTCAATGTATGTACTTCTACTCTTCATAGAAACTGTGCGACATGAACAACCTCCATGCGGTCATGGCTGTGGTGTCAGCGTTACAAAGTGCCCCCATCTTCAGGCTTACCAAAACATGGGCGGTGAGTATATTTATTATATTTATCTATATTTACTTTGGGAGGCACGTCCCGTTTATTGGTAGAGTGCTGTCAATAAACTGGGATGTCATGCAGATGTGTACCAAAACACTGGGCGTATAAACAAAGGCTAATAAAAACTAGCACACAAGTGACATGACATGATGAATGAGAGAGTTCAGGGTAAAAAAATAAACAAAGAGGCCTGTTGAGATCATTCAGAAAACTTTGAAGCAACAGTACACCTCAAAATCAGAAATACATGTTTTTCGTCTTACCTGTAGTGCTGTGTATTTGTCTAGATTGTCTTGGTGTGAGTTGCAGCCGTAGAGATGAGTCTTCTCTAGAATATAATAGAACTAGATGGTACTCTGCTAAAGCTCCAAAAAATACATTTGGAAAACTCAACATCAGTGCAGTTTCATGTAGGAACTATTTTCTTTCTACCAAACTACACCTGACAAAACTGTGCAGAAGAAAGCGTGCATCTACTGCTAGCTCACTTAGCACCGCTAGCTAACGCTACAGCTCAGCCGAGGAGGATGCCATAAATGTTTGCATCTCACGCTGTCACGAGTGTGGACGTCTCATCTATGAGTAGATGCACGCTTCCTTCTGCTAGGTGGTATGATTGGCAGGTGTAGTTCGAAAGAAAGGAAATAGAAATAGAAAGTTCCTACATGAAACTGCTCGCTACAAGGTCTGTGGATTATCTTGAGTAACCAGATCATGATTTCTGGAAAGAGACATTGCTGTTGAGTTTTTAAGCACCACAAGCCGAGTCCTATCTTGTGCCATTATATTGGAGAGAAGGCAGACATCTCTACTGCAACACTCTGTAAGTCACACCAAAACAGTCTAAACTGATAAAAAGCACTACAGGTGAACTGTCCTTTTTAAATTCACCCTCATGAGATAAAATGACAATTTAACAAACATTAAGGTTTCCAGAGAGATGTCAGTGTCCTACTCTGTCATGTCTTGATGCTGTCAGTACGTCCTTTCGTGACATGTGCAGCATCTTTCCACTGATTTCAGCAGATTTAGAGTGGAAACATTTTGAACACATTATTTATTTGTGGACCTTTTTATGTAGGAAATTACGTGTCAGTATCCATTTTAAAAACGTGCGAGGGATTACCGATCTGTTTCAGTGTGAAGATGTAGAGCTTACATAATGGCATGATGATGCTCTGATGTAATGGTGGAAATTTCTTAAACCCGGCTCCACAAAACCACAGGAGATTTTTTTTTAGCCAGTCAGCAAACGCTGTTGCTGGCTGGGACGTAGCTCACCTGCTTCTTAGAAGACAGAAGGGCACAGACGCATGCACACACACACACACACACTAGATTAGACTAGTACTTTCTGCCATTGTCACAACCTGTAAAGTTCCTATGTCAGCACATCAGTCTGATGCTTTGCCTTTGCTGCTGCTTTGGTCCACAGCCTAACTACTCTGCAGTGCAGCCCTCTTGCAGGAGTACGATTCATATCTCACAAATGGATAATAAGACACACACGCGTGCAGTCTGTCTCTAAAGCGTCTGGCGCTGTGGCCTGTTCATTAAAACAAGCAGCCAGCGAGAGAGTAATGGCTTTATTTTGTACGACACAACTGCACTTCATTCTATAATTGACAACTGCAAATCACAGCTGAATTTTAACATGTATTTTACTTACTTTACAAACAGGCAACAAATCAAAAAATGTTCATTATTTCAACAGTCTTGAATAGTTGAAGGACTGACTATAGCAACATGCCCTTTTAAATTGGCAGTTTCTGTTTCTAGTTTTGTCATAAGGTGACTATAAATTTTGTGTGTGTATATATAGCTGGACACACACTGTGCAGTTTGGGTCCGCCTTCACCAATTTTAGAGCCGCACCACTTATTTTAGAGTTGGACCCAATCTCAGCTTTGTCGGCCGTTGTTTGCTGTACAGTGTACAGGAGTTAGTGAGGACCGATCATGTCTCCGCTGCTTCCCACTAACCCATCGGACATTCGGTCAGAAATCTTGATACGCCGTCGTCACGCTCTCAAATTGCCTTTTTTTCTCACTGCGCCTCTGCAACATGGCAACAGCATACGTGTCTTTTTAATGTTTCCTCCTCCTCTTACCACGGCTGATATGAACATTGGCAGTAATGCATTGTGAACGGTAGTGGTGTAACAGCACAGAGCTCCACTAACAAACAAACTTCTAACTGCCTTGGAGTTCTCAAACAAGTCTTTACTGATGGTTGTTAGTAGCCAGAATGGTCAGCAGGTGCCTGCGGGCTGTTTCGTTCTCTATTTCACACATACAGTGCGAGCACAGGTCGTAGCTTGGTGATTGGACTGCACAGTGTGAGCATATACATCCTGAGCGTACAGTGGGGGTTGGAATTACTTGACTCAATCGTACAGTGTATGTCCAGCTTTAGAGGAAGACTTCACAAGTTATAGTTTGTCACTCAACAGCCAATTCACCAACAGACAGCTCTCACGGTTAACACCACATCAGTCGAATCTCACCATACGTTTCTACGCTCCATCTCTCATTCTGTCTTCTTCCTGTTGCTGTTGTTATAACTCTTTAGTGTATATCAGATTTCACTTATTTGCGAGTAGAGCTGAGTGAAGGCGACTTGGATTATGTCATTGTACTGGTATGTGTTGCTATCCCATTATAGCACTCTTGTTCTGATTCTCCCTTTTCCTTTCCCTCTCCACCTCACAGTTACTGAGTCGAAAGGACAAGGCAACGTTTGATCGGCTCGACTACCTGATGTCCAAGGAGGACAACTATAAACGTCTGAGAGACTTCATCAGCAGCCAGAGCATGGTCTCTTGTATACCATACCTAGGTAACAGACACAAACATATACGACATGATCTTCGTAGAATGCACTGAGACACCTTACTGCCAGCTTCCTATCTTTATGGGCTGTTTATGGGCCAAAGGCTAATCTAAAGACAAATCGTCTGAATATTATGAAATGAGCTGTCTCTGCACGTGTGTCTGCTGGCATTATCTCATGGATTATTCAGTGCTGCAGTTATCAGTCAGACACGCTGTATCGTCTGTTTCGTCCTCCCTCAGTGCTTCTTTCAACAAGCTGCTTGTTGTTTCCACTGTAGCCTCTCAGTTTGTGCCCTTTTCATTCGTTTTCCTGTGTTCTCTTTTTGCTCTGCTTCTTTGAATCGAGGAATGTCAAACATAAATATGCTGCTCTCTTGTGAAACATCTTGAAGTAGCTGGAACAAACACATGAATCAGTGAGGGAAAAAAAGATATATTCCTCCGTCCTTCCTTTAAATATTTATGCCCCCTCTCTCTTTGGCTCCACAGTATGACATCACACAGGAATCCCTGATGAGTTTTGCGAGGAAAACACTCGCTGTGTAAGCGTATTGTGCACATGGGTACATGTGTGTGCCGTTTTATTGCTGTACTGTTTGTTCTTGTTTTGACTCGATGATGACTTTGATGTTCTTTACTGCCATGGCTTTCTCTCTTAACATCAGACTCATATCATAGCTACTACAGTGAGACAAACAAACACAGACGAGCACAAACAGAAAACTCAACAGTCTGTTTGTCATTAAAGAAACATCTAAACACTCATTTTATCCATCACGATCCGTCACAGAGGTCTGGAAGCAATGACAGACCATGAGACAAAGCTAATGCTGTGAAATGACACGTTTGCCAGCTTGACTGTATGTCCTCATTGTGTGTGTATGCGAATAACAGGGGAAGACTTTCCGTTCAGTAAGCGCCTCGGTGATTTGTGACTAGTTGGTCGTTCTTAGGGTGGAGTCTCTTTGTGTTGTAAGCCGTCGTACGTGTGAGCACGATGGTGTTTCCTTTCAGTCTGAGCCTGTCAATGATGCGTGCACCCGTGTGATGTGGGACCAGCTGGCTGTCCTCGGGGGCGAACAGAGCCAAGTTGGCACACAGGAGGGAAATCGCCACTCTCTTGTTCTCAGACGTTCTCCTCCATTATAAATCCACCAGATCCCTCTGAGGGGAAAGTGGGAATGAATGAGTGGGAGACTGAAAGCCACAGCGCTTGTTCCAGAGCATCACTCCCAAAATAAATGCTGGGTGTGTTGTAATGGTTAAACTGGGGTTGGGGGTTTCTGCTGATGTATTTGTGCATGTGTTTACCTCTCTGGTCACTAAACAAAGTACCCATTGAAGCTCAAATTAGTCCCAACCCACAGCAGAGGGGTAATATAACCACGTGTCTTTCTAAGTGCCAAATACACTAAATACTTGTGCCGCTTCATGACCTCCTATCATGTTTCTCTCTTTGCTCCATTTGCATCTTTGTAGATGTGATGCTTATCTCTGATGATAATGAGGCTGGAGAAAGAGGTCTGTGTCTGCTGTGTTGTCACTGAGCTTTGGTTTTTCCACAGTGCTACATTTGTGTCAAACCGCGTGTGTGTGTGTGTGTGCAACTGTGTGAACTCTGACCTGCTATTAGGCTTGGCAGACACGGCCCCTCTTGTCTGCGCTTACCACAGGGCCAGCCTGTTAAATGCTCAGATGAGTTTGTTCCTGTTCTCTGGCCAATCATGCGAGGACAAAGAGCCCACAGAAATATACAGCTCCACTGTGACATAACGCACACACTTTAAAATGTTTCCCCAACTCGTTACGCCTTCACTGTGTCTATACCGGCCATGTAGCGAAAGCAGCACAACAGCAGTAGCTGCAGTCCTCTGTCGGTGTGTACACTGAATTGGTTCAGTGACGTACTGCTGTGCACTCTTGACATTGCTCACAGCCCAACGTGTTATCATGTATTACACTTAGAGGAGACAGCATTGATTTAAGGCCCCAAACAAGCTTTGAATTGCAGCTAGCTCCATTGCAGTGGGTAAAAGAAAAGTGTATCTGTTCTGTTTGACTGATGAGTGAAAATTGCAGCTGAAACGTGTCCTGTGTAAACAGGGTTTACCATCACACTTCTCTGACTAGTGTGAGTTGTCTCTCGCAGCCAAACCTATCCCGCGCTGTGCCAGCACCGGAGAAGGGTCTGGCTGAACCCATCATAATTCCACACTTGGGCAATAAAAACTCTCTGGATTGTTTGTATTTCTTAAAACCAATTAAAAGTGATTTCGGCGCCGGCGCTAAGCCCAGGATGCAGCGACAATGCTCTTGCAAAATATTGTCTGGAGGGAATGTGCTTTGGTGAAGGGGCAGGTGCTGATATTAAAATGGATAAATCCCTGCAAAAGAAAACACCACATAAACATTACAAGATGTTTTAGGTTGCTAACTCAGAGGGTTATGTTTACGCACAGCCCTAAAACAAAGTGTGGAGATAGGTCTGACTATGTGAGACTAGTTTACCATAGCGACAGGGATTTTGAAAACAATATTACAAAGAAAGTGTGTTACCAGCTAAGATAGGTGGCCAGTGACAGGCCTCAACCCCACAGTCTAAATCCAGACGAGTTCTTGAGCAACAGCTCATTACGATAGTCCCAGTATCATGTTTTACACTTACTGCTGGGATCCTGTAGTAGCCATTTGCTACATGGTCTCTGTCAGTGGAGAAAGAATCTACAGAAGGCCTGAAAAGCTCCACAGAAGCCCCTTGACTCACTTCTGCTCTAGCATGCTGTTGCTGTAGTCGCTGTGCAGTGATTCAACACAAGCCAGGGCTCCAGACTGCCACCGAAATAGTCACATATGCAGCCATTTTCGTCTAAGTGTGCAAGTTAAAATTTAACATAGTTGCAATCATGCAAGTAGATGATGATCGTTATCATTGGTGCACTCATTGGTTATATAATTGAAGATGACCTATTACGTCATCCACTGCTCGTGTCAAAGAAACTAAATATTCAGATAAAAACATTTTCAAATATCAGGTCTTGAGTCACTCAGTACATTTACATGCACCATAGCATTTAATTGCACTGCTGTCCGATTTATTGACCGAAGTATGTCCGACTCCGCTCCAACAGTTGCTGATGTGCCTTCTTTCAGCTTGCTAGTATTGGACATCACAGACCAAACAGTCGACAAAGTTAGCTACGGTTAGCTAGCAGCAAACTGGTACCATTGTGGACAAGTTTACAGCTCTGCACGTTTTGTCCGTCCACAAAGGCACGGCTCTGGATGTAGACTTTGCAGTGTTGTTGTCGGCTTCTTCTTTTGTTACATATTTAATGCTATTTGACTTCCAGGTCAAAGCCTGTGACGGAAACTGTGGAGCACACGCAGAGCGCCTACGCTAGTTTAGGTCGGATTAACTGTATTCATGCAGTGTACAGGAATTCGTCTCCCAATCGCAGTATCTGGGTTTGTTTGTCCGGCTTTGACAAATTCGATTAAGTACGATTTCAGTAGGACCAGCATGTATTTTAAAAGTCTGGTTTTATTCAGGCTAACACTGTAAATTGAATTTCTCTAATATCAAGTAATTGTACCGACTGTCAGTTTTTACATCAATGCAAAACCATGGTATGCAAATTAAGACAACCTTTCATTAGCATGCAGGATCATTGATTGATACCATGCTGTACTAAGGGCGCACTCACACTAGGCACACTAGGGCCAGTTGTTCCGTACCGTGCTGAAGCATGAAAGCCCCCCCTCCCCTGTTCCCCGCTGGCCCGCACTCACATTACCCTGAGCCCAAGTGTACTCAAGCATGGTTGCCTCCGACACATACGTCATCACGATAAGATACGACCTCTTCATCTGACCAACGTGAACCCTTCGACGCTACCATTGCTATTGTTGTTGTGGAAGGATGGTTGCATGGTTCATACGTCATCACCACGTTTCGTGCGTTGCGTTCGTAACCTTGTGCGCATGCGTGACCAAATGTACAGTGCTTAAGCACACCTCTTAACCGTACCGGGCCAGGGAAGTGTACCGTACTCAAGCATGGTACACTTACACTCACACTAGCCAAATAATCCGGACTTTAGGGGGCAAATGTGCTTGGGCACGGTACCATTGCCTTAGTGTCTATATACAGACTCTACATTCAGTGAATGTAGAGTCTGTAGGCAAACCCCGGAGATCTTGCCTCTTGAAGAAGAGCGGAAGAGCCCTGGTTTCCGGTTGTAGGTTGTTTGTAGTCAGCGTGATATTGACCAGTCACGTTTGAGCCGGCTGCAGTTGTTGCCAGGTTAAACGGTCCGTGCAGTGAACTAATGAGTCAGAACATAATTGGCGTCACTGCAAACTCTGAATCCATCACAATGGTTCAGCATATTTACTTATATATAAACAGAAGTCGGAAACAGAAATTCGCCTCCTCCGCCCAAATCAAACCAAAATGCCAAAAAATCGGGGGTCTGCCCCCAGAGGCTGTATCGCCGTCTGCCAGAAGTCAGACGGCGAATACAGCTGATGGGTTCCGTGAATGCGATTGCCTAGTGTGAGTGCACTATAAGAGAAAGGTGCTGGTGCGACCAGCTGAGAACTTTTTAGCACCAGTGCTACCAGTGGAAAAGTAAGTCTAGAGCCCGTCAAGTAAAACTGTGTGGAATAATGGATGTAGTGGAAAGTACCAGGGGTACTGGAAGGTGTCATATGTTCATTTCACCACCGGTCCCTCACCTGCAGTCCAGGAGGTAGTATAGCCAGACAAAGCTTGCTCTGCTCTGTTGGACTGCATGGATATACAGTATTTTAGATGGCTGACAGCAAGCCTACCTGCCAGGTTTGTTGGCTCACAGGGTGTTTGAGTATCTGAGCTACAATGTGTTGACGATGTGTCTGTGAGCTTCTTCTCCTGCAGTGTTTACGTCATACGGCTTCTATCTGTTCTGACTTACAGCTCCTCCGAGGGAATGGTCCAGAGGGGAGCCATAATTTCGTGATATA